TTTGTCAGTTTGTATCTGGAAGTCCCACAGGATCTTAGCTTGGTCATTCTCAACCACCTTTGGAGGTGTATCCCATTTTGACTTTGGGATTTCCAGCCTGTACTCGGCACAGATGTTTCTGTACACTATGCCAGCCACTTGGTTATGGCGTTCCATGTATGCCCTGCCTGCTAACATCCTGCACTCTGCTGTTATGTGCTGGATTGTCTCAAGGACATCTTTGCACAGCCTGGAAGGCTATGATTGCTGAGGAGTTGCTGAATATCGAAAGATACAAAAGTGGAGTGGAGTGAAGAAAAGGCGGATTGAAAGAAAATTAACAAAAGTAAAAAAGGCAAGCCACCGACAGTGTTGTACATACAGTATCTGCCAGTTGGAGCAGTGTTTGTTGTAGTTTACTACAGAGGACGGCTGATAATTTGATCCTTCTGTTAATGCCCAGAACTATAATAAAGCACTTGGTTGGCAGTGGCTGCCGACATATTAATCAATGTCCGTGCCAATCGTTATGCTCACATGCTCAGACCTTATATGCCTTCTGAGACATCGTGCCACTGGCAGTTACTGCATTATGTCTACATTTTTTCCCCCCATTGTTAAATCAAGGTTGTCAACTCTACGCTACAGAAAAGAGAGTTGCACTCAGGCTCTGTTATTCTTTTGGTAAATGGTCTTATACTCATATAGTGCTTTTCTATGCACTGCAGCACACTCAAAGCACTTTCACACTATTTGGCCATTCACCCATTCACACTCCTAAGCACTCACAAATTCACGCACCGGTGACGTCACCGGGAGCAATTGGGGGTTCAGTGTCTTGCTCAAGGACACTTCGACATGTGGACTGGACAAGCTGGGAATAAAACCACTAATATTCTGGTTAGGAGACAGACACTGTCATCAAAAATTACATTCCTATGTAGCCTATGCAACTACACTTCAAATGCTGATATGTTTTGTAATGAACACATTTGATTATTAGATTGCATTCTGTGGCGACATAACATTAGTTTTGGAATGAATGAAGTGCTGCATTTTCCTACACTACAGCAGCAAGACAAGACAGAGAAGGGAGTCTGGTGGAAGGACAATGGGCATTGCTAACATCAGTGGCTCGAGTTCGGTTTTGAATTCTGCTCTAACATTTAATTTGAAGCCACTTTAAGTTTTGTGTTCTCTAAGTCAAGCACTGCGAGCCAACACATAACTAATAAAACTTGTTAAACACGGTCTTTGAGCAGCACCTCTGTAGCTCATTCAGTTCAACAGCCTCTCTCTCATCAGCAGTGGTCGTGGTATTGGTAAGTGGTCTTTACCTCTGGACACACTCCTCAGACATCTTCTGTATTTTCATTGCTTCAGTTTTTCTGCTCTTGTTCCTCCACAGGTTTATCTGCTTGATTTGTGTAACGTCTGTGTGGCACAACTTTAGAGTGTGTGCGTGTGTGTGCATGCACTTGGTAGTGTGCCTTGTTTGGTGTGTTTGTTACATTACACTACTAGCTCATTATGTATCAGGTTTTAGTTAAATGGTAGTAAGAGCAGAGCTGCAGTCTGCTGGTTCTCATCTGGAAAATCCACTGGCGCCAGTACAAGCATGACCCCACCCCCTGCCAACAGCAGGTTACAAGAAAATGTTCCGAGGGCTCATGAGAAGGCAGTCATCATTAATAGACATAGATGAGTTTGTCATAGTTTTTACACACACACACACACACACGCACGCACACAGTTCATGGCAGGTAGTATTACACACACACACACACACGCGCACACACACGCACGCACACGCACGCACACAGTTCATGGCAGGGAGTATTAAAAAATAAAGTTTGTAGTTTAAAAACTTCATAGTTTATACTGTAATGTTCATGCAAGTTTGGTTTTGTTAAAGAACTTCAAGTTAATTGTTACGGACTTTAGGTAAATCTACATGTCTGCATTAAAATACACAGTAAAGATCCGATACAAAAATTTGCATTTCTCCAAGGCTGTGGCCTGGAGAAAATTAAGGACACAGTTTTAAACAACACATGTTCAAACATATAAAACAACTAGGTTAAAACAAAGGCATGCTGAGTTTTTTTTTTACCCTAGAACAGACAGGCAGCCATAGTCTGGTCCTATATTTGGGCTGGAGTCAAATTCCTTGCACTTTTGATAATACTTGGCAATAAAGTTTATGCTTATGCTTACATACAGTTTGAGAAATTCAGAAACATTGGTCACATGTTACAAGTAACTTGCATCATCCCTGATGCTATTTTCAATCAGCCCTGGGATGACAGGATGTCCTTAAAATCGAGCCCTGATGGAGCTTTGCTGGAAGATACTGCAGCCTATGCATGCAGGGGAGAACACATCTCCAGAGACCAACATAAAATATTTGAAGAGAGTGACTAATGGCATAGGGTATCAGCCGTTTAGGACTGCAAAGACAAGTTTACCTGCAGCTATGCAATTCCCTAGAATGACATCATTGGCCACACCACCTGTCCTGCTCCTCCCTTGCCACTTCACTGCTTTCTCCACAAGACACCTCTAGGTAAGCACATTTCCGTATATAAAGAAATGGGGGCATGGCAGTATGCTACAGTGCCTTGCGAAAGTATTCTGCCCCCTTGAACTTTGCGACCTTTTGCCACATTTCAGGCTTCAAACATAAAGATATAAAACTGTAATTTTTTGTGAAGAATCAACAACAAGTGGGACACAATCATGAAGTGGAATGAAATTTATTGGATATTTCAAACTTTTTTAACAAATAAAAAACTGAATAATTGGGCGTGCAAAATTATTCAGCCCCTTTACTTTCAGTGCAGCAAACTCTCTCCAGAAGTTCAGTGAGGATCTCTGAATGATCCAATGTTGACCTAAATGACTAATGATGATAAATAGAATCCACCTGTGTGTAATCAAGTCTCCGTATAAATGCACCTGCACTGTGATAGTCTCAGAGGTCTGTTTAAAGCGCAGAGAGCATCATGAAGAACAAGGAACACACCAGGCAGGTCCGAGATACTGTTGTGGAGAAGTTTAAAGCCGGATTTGGATACAAAAAGATTTCCCAAGCTTTAAACATCCCAAGGAGCACTGTGCAAGCGATAATATTGAAATGGAAGGAGTATCAGACCACTGCAAATCTACCAAGACCTGGCCGTCCCTCTAAACTTTCAGCTCATACAAGGAGAAGACTGATCAGAGATGCAGCCAAGAGGCCCATGATCACTCTGGATGAACTGCAGAGATCTACAGCTGAGGTGGGAGACTCTGTCCATAGGACAACAATCAGTCGTATACTGCACAAATCTGGCCTTTATGGAAGAGTGGCAAGAAGAAAGCCATTTCTTAAAGATATCCATAAAAAGTGTCGTTTAAAGTTTGCCACAAGCCACCTGGGAGACACACCAAACATGTGGAAGAAGGTGCTCTGGTCAGATGAAACCAAAATCGAACTTTTTGGCAACAATGCAAAACGTTATGTTTGGCGTAAAAGAAACACAGCTGATCACCCTGAACACACCATCCCCACTGTCAAACATGGTGGTGGCAGCATCCTGGTTTGGGCCTGCTTTTCTTCAGCAGGGACCGGGAAGATGGTTAAAATTGATGGGAAGATGGATGGAGCCAAATACAGGACCATTCTGGAAGGAAACCTGATGGAGTCTGCAAAAGACCTGAGACTGGGACGGAGATTTGTCTTCCAACAAGACAATGATCCAAAACATAAAGCAAATTCTACAATGGAATGGTTCACAAATAAACATATCCAGGTGTTAGAATGGCCAAGTCAAAGTCCAGACCTGAATCCAATCGTGAATCTGTGGAAAGAACTGAAAACTGCTGTTCACAAACGCTCTCTATCCAACCTCACTGAGCTCGAGCTGTTTTGCAAGGCGGAATGGGCAAAAATTTCAGTCTCTTGATGTGCAAAACTGATAGAGACATACCCCAAGTGACTTACAGCTGTAATCGCAGCAAAAGGTGGCGCTACAAAGTATTAACTTAAGGGGGCTGAATAATTTTGCACGGCCAATTTTTCAGTTTTTTATTTGTTAAAAACGTTTGAAATATCCAATAAATTTCGTTCCACTTCATGATTGTGTCCCACTTGTTGTTGATTCTTCACAAAAAATTACAGTTTTATATCTTTATGTTTGAAGCCTGAAATGTGGCAAAAGGTCGCAAAGTTCAAGGGGGCCGAATACTTTCGCAAGGCACTGTACTTGTGCATGACAGGCATGCACTTGTCATGTTAGATTGATTCTGACTTACTAATATACACACAGTGGTAAGAACAAAATTGGGTGGTGCACGTGTTTCATGAATCTGACTGTAATTTTGCGTGGTAAGAACATTTCTACACACATAGTAGTGAATGAGGCCAATGTCTTCATAGGCTGGACTCTGTTTATCACAGTGCATTAAGATTAGTTACCAACATAAAACCTTTAACCCATCACTGTGCTCTGTACTCTGGAGAGGACTGGACATCTCTCTGTATGTATCTTGCCAGGACTCCCTTGCAGAAGAGGCTGTAAACCTCAGTAAGATTTTTTTTTTCATGGTTACAATAAAGATTTGATAAAATAAAATAAAATAAAAAATTACATTTCAGCAGTAACTTTCAACAGTTTAAGTAATAATAAGTAATAGTAATACTGTGCAGCATAAAACGTTATGAATTATTTATTAATGCTTATGACATGGTAACCCTGATCATAAGACTTCTTAGCTAATATCAAATTGATCTCAAGGAATAGATAAAAAGTTCATGAACCAACAACAATGGTAGCAGCAGCTCCAAGCACTTGTGCATTTCTTTCAGGAAATGCAAATTACAAAATTATATCTTGCTCTTTTTGTGTTCATATGCTGCATAAAATATAATCACATGGCCTGCACAAATATAGGTCCACAACTCCATACATTTTTAACTGTAAGACAATGAAATCAACTGTCAATTACCAATTAGACTACAGTGGGTACGGAAAGTATTCAGACCCCCTTAAATTTTCCACTCTTTGTTATATTGCAGCCATATGCTAAAATCATTTAAGTTCATTTTTTCCTCATTAATGTACACACAGCACCCCATATTGACAGAAAAACACAGAATTTTTGACGTTTTTGCAGATTTATTAAAAAAGAAAAACTGAAATATCACAGGGTCATAAGTATTCAG